TCATGATTTTGTCGTGTTCTATGATCATGCCGAGGTATTTGATTCGTGTCTGAGCGAATTGACACTTTTCGACTTTGAGGAATAGGTCGTTGTCCCTGAGTTTCTTGAGAACGATTTTAGTCATGTGTTCCAGTTCTTCGATGGTGTTTGCAGGGATGAGTATGTCATCCATGTAGATGATCACAAGTCTCCCATCGATTTCAACGATGAAGATGTGGTCCATCATCCTTTGGAACGTTGCGGGTGAGTTACAGAGTCCGAAGAACATGACTAGTGCTTCGAAGAGCCCTTTCTTGGTTTTGAATGCAGTCTTCCATTCGTCCCCTTCCTTGATGCGCACATTGTTGTATCCCCACCGGACATCGAGTTTGGTGAAGTATCGTTTTCCTTTCACCCGGTCCATGATGTCGGATATTAGAGGTAGTGGGTAGGCGTCTTTCACCGTCCATTCGTTGAGATATCTGTAGTCTTGGCATGTGGCGCTTCTTTCCGTCTTTCGTTTGGCACGAAGAACATGGGTGATGCCATTGGTGATTTTGAGTGACGGATATATCCTTTTGCCAAGTTTTCATCAAGGAATTTTGTGAGTTCTTCTTCCTCGGCCGGCGTGAGATTGTAGATGGGAAACGATTTGGGTTTGAAGCCTTCCTTGAGATTGATCGCGTGATCCCACTCTTTCCTTTCTGGGAAACGATTTGATGCTTTTTCAGAAAAGACACTTAAGAATTTCGTGAAAGGCATGGGGAATTTTGAGTTTGAGATCCTCTTCAAGAGGTGGTCTCATAGTCGGTGTCTTTTTCTTCAGTGCTGGTCGCGTTGAGCCATTTCTCGTTGATTTCTTTCGTGGCTTTTCCTTCGATGAAGGCGAGGAGAAGGTCTTGATCATCTTGCTCCATGGTCGGAGATATCGTGCTTCTCCATTTGACCTCTCCTCGTTTCCAGTTGATGTCGGGGTTTTCGTTCTGTAACCACGGCATCCCGAAAGATAAAATCCCACTTTCCTAAACCTGTGACATAGATAGTATATTTTTGTAGTCGTCCATTTGATGTTGATGATGGGTTCAATCGTTTGTGAGATGGTTCCCTGTTTGTTTGCGGTTCCATCTACGTTTCGGACTTTGATGGGGTTTTTAAGTGTTTTGTAGGGATTTTATATTTGTCAACCATCCGGTGGGTGGATAAATAGGTCATCCGCTCCGCTGTCGATTAGGACCGTTGTGTCGATGCCACTATCGGGTATTTCAATTGGTAGAACGATCGATCGTTTGTTTCGGGTGGTGATCGTCGCCGTTCCAATGTGACAGTTCGGTGGACGCATCTCCATCGACCTTAAGATGTCCCCTATGAAAAATCCTCCTCGGATCCTTCGCCCTTTGTTGTGGCTCGAATGTTTGAGCTTCCCGAGTCAGGGTGTTTGGGGCAGGCTCGTGTTGTATGTCCTAGTTGTCGGCATATTCCGCATTTGGCTTTTGGACAGGCTCGCGCCGGGTGTCCCTTTTCCTTGCAGATGAAGCATTTTCCATTTTGTGTGCCGGATGACTGCTTTGTTTGGATGGCGTCAACATCCATGGCATCAGGGTCTTTCTCCTCCCGTTTCGCTGTTTGTGGGGCGTCCCTGTAGACCACTTTGACCTTCTGTTGGGGCTCACTGCGATATTCCCGCTCTGTTCGCCACTCTCTATCCACTTCCATGGCTGCGTCTTTCCACTCTTGGAGAGTGGGTGGAACTTTCTTCTGTTCCGCGGGTCTGGCAGCGAATTGGGTGGCGACCCTTAATCGGAGTTCGGGGTTTAATCCAGCCTTGTATTGATCCAGGGCCCATTCGTCACCGTATCCGGTAGCTTCTGCATAGCTGTTGAACATTCCTGTGTACCAATCACAGGTGTTCTTTCCCATGTGAAGTTGCTTGAGTTGCTTCTTTGCGGTTTCCTTGTTTGGGAGTAGGCAGAAGTATTTTCGGAACTGATTGATGAAATCTTCCCATGACTGGTAGTACCCTTCCGGATCAGTGAAGGTCGGATCCGTCTTCTGAGCCTCCTTCGCCTCAAGCCACTTTTTCTTGTATTCGGTCATCTTCCTATATTCAATGGACGCCCAGTTCCGGGTTTTGTCTTTCTCCGTTTCATTCACAAGTGCGACCATGTATCGAATTCTTGCAGTGGCTTGCATATTCGTTTTTACTATCCAAGTATGTTTCCACTGCTTGAATGAAGGTTTCGACGTCTTCTGCTTTTCCTGAGAATTTGGGTGGTTTGGGGATATCTAACTTGGGTTTGGATTCTTCCCTTGCCTTCCGGGCTTTCTCCAGAGTAAGGAAGTCGTCGTATTTCTTCAACATTTCTTCCAAGCCAGTTGCCCATCTTTGCAGTGCCTCCGCTAATTCCTTCTACATGTGGAGCAGTTTCCGTGAGGGTCTCGCTGATTGTGATGATGGCTTTGTTGGCTAGTCCCCAGATCTGATATAGGATTGCTCCTACTCCTATCAAGAAGACTATGGTATGGACTTCGGATAGTTTTTCCGAAAGTCCGCTGGCTAGGGCGGGTGTGGATGGTAATCCGGAGAGTTGTACGATGGTCTGCCAGGCAGACTGAAATATTTGTTCGGCCATAGCTAGTCGTTATAGCGGGCCTTGGAGGTTTGAGACTTCGTTCTTCTGTTATGGACTATACGTGATACAAGCACGTGTCGTCCAGTACTCAGCGACTTTGTGGTCGATGAATCAACTCGTGACTACGTCAAGAGTTCTTCGCCTGTAGCTTTGTGAACTTCGAGCTAGACTTTGAGTGATAATTAAAGATATTTGTATTTGCACTGAGACTTGATATAGCTTTGTGAACAATTAAGAACGAAGTGAAGAAACTAGCTAAGAGAACTAGAGAGTTTATATACTAGAAGACGTGTGTTAGCCATGAGGCGTAGTCCTCATGGGTAACATGCGTATTCCGTGGAATGTATGTAGGTTTCAATGAGTTTTTAATAAGTATCAGTCAGCAATCAGTAATGCGCAGTAAATATGAGTAAGACTATGAGCTGAAATGAAAAACATAAGGTAGAGATGAGGTAGGTATAGTAATATAATGTTAGTAAGCATATATGTTCGTAACACGAGGGCTGGGTCTCTGATTCCGCACCTTCTAGGCTGGCTATTCGTATGCGAACCTGTCCTTGATGGACAAGGCCCGAGTGTGGCGTCGTCTCGCAGAGATCAAGCAACGCCAAGGACAAGGACAGGCTCCGAAACGTTCCAACCCTCCTCCCTCCTCAGCTGCCACCCGCATCGTCAAGAAGAGAAAATACAAGGTTGGAGACACGACCCCAAACGGGGTTGTGCTTGTGGTCGATTCATCGGACTCCGAAACCGACACTGCCTCTATCAGAGCTAGGCACGGACACTCCGCAGGCCCAAGTTGCCAGGTCACCGTCACAGTCTACGACTCTGACGGGGAGGAGTTGGGGACGGCGAAACGGGTACCTGTGTATAACTCTGATGGCGAAGAAATCGGCGCAGTTGCCGGGCCGCTCACAGAGGCTTGAGTGGTTACGCGAGCACACATGGGCGCCATCCATCTTGTATTGCTTTCTTGCTTTCTTGTGTCGTATTTGTTGTAGTGTGAACGTTGTCATAATCTGTGCCGCTGCATCTGCGTCCATCCAATAGACCTTCCTTTTTTTTGGCCACAACAGTGTGATCCTGGGGAGATGACCAAGTCAGAATGTGACAACATCCCGATACATTCAGCCGGTAGTAACTTGTTCAACTTGACGTGTTGAGGACGCGTCACGTCACATGACCTGTGATCTGATCAAGCCGGTACGTTGGTCCTTCACACCAGCTCCGCACTCCCTCGTGCGCACCTCACCCATCTGCGCCTCATGGCTCCCAAGAAAAGACGCATCGATGACCACTTCGAGTTCTACGAGTTCGACGACCCCGTGCAAGGTTCAGAGGATGTCCAGGAGAAATATACGGAAATCGAGTCCACAGGGAGGGGTTATCGCGCTTCCGATTCCTACCTGGTGGTCCCACCCTCGCCCACGAAGAAATCCGCAGCCCCTGGAATGTCGTCGCAGCAGGCCTCTGGGGTCAGCAACCAGAGGGTGGACATAGAGGCGCTTTTCGCTGAGAATTTCGCCGTTGATCTGGCAAGCCTCGACGCGCACCCGGAGGAAGAAAGGACTGTGGATG